AAACTTATCACATTTCTGATTCTTGAATAATATGGTTCATAATTGCAATTTGTTTGTTAAAATTAAGCGATATATTTTCTAGCAATATTTCAGAGTGATTGTTTATTTGCAGACATGTCTGTGACCGGAGAACTAGTTCCTTGTAACATTGAACATTTTGGTCCCCTCTTGAAACTTCCAATGTTAGCGTGTCTCTTTCCCATATTGCTTATCAACATTTTACGAGAATAATGGTTTCATTTGTTAAGTACTTGTATATACAAAGCATGGTATTATACGAGTATTTGGATGAATGGCTGTCCCATGACAATAAACTGTCGTTTTTTTTTCAAATACTAAAATTATAAAGTTTGCTCCAAAATCCTGTTTCAATATTCTTAAAAGTAGAACTAACTGGTTGTATTCCTGAGAACTGTCTCTTATAAGGCTACTTTTAAATTATTAATTAATTATTTAATTATTTTATTCACCGAACTGAGGATCTTACGTTATATTATTGAGAAATTGTACTAATCAGTGTATTTATAAGCCTGATTATATGGTTGGTAATATTTTAATACTTTTAATCATTAGACAAGGATATTTGTACAAAACTCTCGAGGTCTCTTGAAAGGGTGAACATACATATAATGATTAGTATCTGGTTCTTCTTTTAATTTATTTTTAGGCAAAGACGTTATATGTTCAGTCACTTAAATTTGAATAATGTTTTATTTTTATTTTTATCTTTCCAATTATGCGAAATAATCTTTATCCAGATTATGATTTTATAGGTTAAGAATCTATTGCTATTCATTCAAATTTTTATGGTTTTAAGGAAGAGAACATGACTAGGGATTTGTCTGTAAAGCAATTGTACCAAAAATTCTTTAAGTCTTTTAGAACAAAATTAGCATTAGTTTTCTATTTTAGCAATATTAAGTTGTAATATGCATATGGATAGAGAATGAGAAGAGAGGTAACTCTGTAAGTTGGTGGAGGTACATAATAGTGACAGAGTCGGGATGTCGCCGATTTATTGGAAATTCTTGCAGAGTTGCCTCCTTTCCATTAGATTATTTTTTATAGTTTAAAATGGCCGTACATAAATTACTTTTATTTTGTAAAATTATATATTGAATTGTTTGATGCTGTAATGTATATTAAGAATATATATTCAATTGTATACGGTCGAAAGCAATTAAGTAGATATTAAAGCAATGTGTTGTAACATTTCTAAAGGGCTATAAGCATAATGTAATTTAAAACACGCAGCGAGGGTAGAAAAATATAATTATGTGCTAATAGAGGGTACTTAAATAACAAATATGATTATGAGATACATAAGTGTTATAAAATAGACTGTACTTAGTGAATTACGAGTGATGTATGCTGTTAATGGATATCATTTAGTGCGAGTATGAAGAAAAATCGCGCTCGTATGTTTTGCTGATCAAACACTTTTACTATCACGGAGTACGGATATATTGCTTCAAGAAGATTTATTGTGCCGACATTTAAAATAAATCGATATGAAAAGAAATTAAGACTTTAAAATGCCGAAAGATTATTTTTGTAGTTATTATGTCATAAGAACATGTTTGATGAGAAAGGAAGTAATTTACACATTGCATACAATCCACATATATCACCAAAATAGGCAAAATAGCCCCTACTGCATTAATCACGAAGTAGACATATGGTGATATTATATTAAAGTCAATTGTTTGCTTTGTAATTTTAAATGTACTCTGTCAACTCGTTGTAATAGTTGTAATAAGTATGGGTTTTTCATCTGGAGATACAACCAGTATCACTCAGAGTATATCACTGATGGCGTTGTGAACAAGACTTTGTCGATAGTTTTTTTGTGTAACTTATTCTTTAAAGCATATGTCTGGATTCAAAGACAATAACTTCGCTAAAATGATAATGTTTCACAGCAAGTTATTTTTGTGTTGGGCAGTGATACGCGTGACGTCATTTTCCTGTTTGCCTTAATGAAAATATTTATCATGCTTAAATTGTTATTGTTAATGTTTTTACGTGAATATGTTATATGATCATACAACGACGTGAGAAAACATCATTGTCTTTTGTGCACATTTATTTCTTGAGGCTGGCGATCTTTTCGCGCGGCTTTACTTAAATTAAAATGATGAATACTATTGAAACCGGTGCCGGTGTGGGGGGGGGGTAGGTTGCAGTTACAACTACCGTCCATGAACAATCTGAATCAAACCGAACAAGCAACATATTCAATTTTGATGTTTTGGATGTTTTTAGGGATATTTTCTCTCTATTCTATGTTGGCATTCAACAGTTACTGAAAATTTGATGCACAAAAAATTAATTGCGTGATTGTATTTCTTTCATAATTTTGTATTTCGGTATTTTCATTGTATATTTAAACAATTATTTTTTTTGTCAACATACTCCTTATATATGTGATAATGTGTGTAAGTTTTTCTGACTTAGTTGCCATTTTAACTTTGTTATATACAAACTTCTACATTAATCGTAAAATAAATAAATAAATAAATAAATAAATAAATAAATAAATAAATAAATAAATAAATAAATAAATAAAATAAGAAGTATACATTTTTGTCCTTTGTTATTTGATTATATAACATTGATACAATGTGTGTTTCTAAATAATCTTATTATAAATATGACTCAATGGAAAAGATAAAAGAAATCGATTAAATATTCATGACCACTTAAGTTAATACTTGGTAACACTCGACAGCTACTCTTTTGCGACACTTGTCGTAATTATGAGACTTGTTTTAAATGCACTTGTTAGGATAGGGAAGTCATGAAATTAAGCACAGCTTTTTCTATTTTATAAAAAAACATATACATTAAATTGAGTCATGTAAACAACAGCGAAAACTGTTTTTAAGAAGGTTTTTGTTTCCAATCTCAACTTTCTTTGAATTTACTCTAGATATTTGGCAATTATACGAGTCGTAGTTATGGTATCACAAGATGTTGTCGGTCTTGTTTAACATTAATACACTTACATTCTCACCTCTGTAAGTTCCAATCCCACCGGAGACTTTTAGTATGCTAACCGACTAGCTGACGGTACGTCAGTGGTTTTACGCAAATGCACGCTCTTGTCTAAACTTAATATTCAAGATTAAACATTCAAAACATTTTATTTGGCAACGTAGTAATGGCGTTTCTTACTACACAAACATATATTTACAATTACACAATAAAGCTTGTAAACATGACACAATTTTATAGACAATTATTTTAACAGAAAATATGATACATATAACCAAATAGAAGACAAAATGGAAGACATAAAAAGGTTGAACTAATGGCGTATGTGTTTCACTAAGGTATTTCTCAATTTCAAATTTTCTTTATGTAAATGTGGACATCCGTTTTATTGAACTGTTCCGCCTTCAAATGTGCGGACATCAAAATATCAACATGCAGTCAAATGTTTTAAATATTTTTTAAGAAAGTATTTACAATAGTGTTTAACACATAAAATATTAGACAGATATTCATAACTATACAATAAATAATGATTTTGTGTTAAACTTTGATATAATGTCGTCCATTGTTTAAAATTCAAATTGTTACTCTCTTCTCAGTCTGACTCTTTTAATGCAGTTCATAGTTGTTGATGACCATTTCTCTTCGCGTGTTCTTACTGTTATAAATATATCAATGATATCACGTGTCTGGACGAATTTCTCCATATTCATGCTCAGATACTGTAAAGGAACGAAAAGAAAGGACCATGAAACCAACTAAAATGTAGACAAAAAATTATATAAACAGTTAAAATACCAAATAATTTAGGTGTTTACAATACGATAGTCTGAACAATTAATTCACAAATACCTTGAACTCTTCCAAGATCCTCATAGTCAGGTGACTTTAACAAAGTGTCGCTCTTTATTGCTGAAAAATAAACCTTTCTATATACTGATATTTTTGTAATACATCAACGCAACTTAACAGAGTTATTGACTACTAACGGATTATAAAATGTGATTGAGATATACAAGTTACGTTTTGAATACTTGCTACTCATTATCTTTAAAACAACAACAAAAGGAACTTACAATGCCCGAACATTTATCTTGCCTGTACAATTAAAAGACATGAATAACATTTTAACATTGATATAATGCAGCCGCTTGATGAAAGATATTTCATGATGACATAACATTCAGTTAAACAAAAAGCATAAGTTTACATCTTAAATATACATAGCGAAATATTCAAATGAAATAAGAGTCAGTGCGCATTATTAAATATTATCAAGTTAAACGCTTAATAATATTCTAAGTATGTTATGTGATTATAGGTACGACGGAAATTGTTAGTAATAACATACTTTAAATGAAATGCAAAGAAAGATCTGTATAAGTCAATTAAAAGTCTAGAATAAAACAACATGAAATACCTTGTACAATTCCATGCTTACTGGCACTGGCAGCATTTCCTGGATTTCCATATTCTAGTTCAATGCCTGAAAATATTTAAATAATAATGTTACTATTTCATCTCAATTGTTTCCTTTTGAAACTCTGTGGTAAGAACAGATTATGATTTTGATAGGAAATTATTTTATTAAGAACTGACCGTGCAAATTGGAGACTTAAGTGGAGCTGTGGCCTAGTGGTTAATGTGTCTGCCTCTCAATCCAGGGATCATGTGTTCGAGTTCTACTCGGGTTACAACCCGTTTTTATATGACACCAGTACTTGTTGGTTCCAGGAAGCGGACTCCAAAATTATTAATATTAGTGCAAGAACTTGTTGCGCAATCGAGCTTAAAAAGATGTGTTTAAAATAGATATGAAGAGCATAAAAGTTTTGATGAAAAAACATCATCTATCATTTAAAATTAAGATATACATGTATATATATATTTACCAGAGTTTTCATAAACAGGTTCCTTTGTCTTGTAAGTATCATTAACCCTGTAATGTAAATAAAACGTTGGACCTATTTCTTTTTGATCATTTGGCTTGTCATTGATAAATATTAAGTAATCAAAATCTGTTTAGATATATTCATACCAAGACAATATAGTGGATAAGAGTAATTATTAATACGCGGAAATATAAAACGCTTATATAAAATATAATGATGTGTTGCTTTTATTGACATCGTTTTTTTAAAGTACAAATAAAAGTATTTCAGGATTATTTTCCTCCTTTAAATGTTTTTCAAATTCCATAGTACACTTACGTTAAATCAAATATCGTTGGTTATTTTATATAAATGTAGGTTATCAAAAAATTTAATAAATTCGAAGTCAAAAAGGGGGCATAACTAAGAATAAAATAGAGTTACATGTCCTTTAGAAATGCATTTCAATTTAAACATGTAACAAGTCTTCAAAGTGTGGTGCGATCACTTTTGACAAAAAGTGTACTTAGAAAAAATATATAAGGTACATAACTTTATTTATTAAAAATTTATTCTATGATTTTGCTTTTCTGAAAGGTTGTCTCGTATAAAGGAAGTCTAAAGTGAAAAGGTTTAATAGTTTCTGAGAGAATATCCCTTCGCGAAAAAAGGATTATCAGGGCTAGAACTTTGCAAATAAATTATTACTAGCGAAGCCAACGAGAGGGTCTTATATTTCCGATCCTTGAATATCGTTCAGCACGACATATTTTTTTTTGTGTTTGTGGTACTTTAAGTTTTTACTTTTCGGCATTTTTCTAGTTGGATAGTTCCAAATATTCCTACATGTTGCCTTTTTCTGGCCGAAGGCCGGTTTGTTTTAAGTTTGACTTCCTGGAAAAGTTACATGGAAGAACTGAATAGCAAAAGAGTTTTCATTGGTCGTTTTGAAATTACAAAATGAAATATGGAAGTTTCATTCTAAAATAAAAAACAAAGGATAGTTCTAAACTAAAATGTAAAGGATAGTTCTTGCAATTATGAAATAAAATGTAAAGGATAGTTCCAAAATAATTGTACAGGACAGTTTTTTTTTAATTTTCTAGTTAAATTGCTCAAATATTTAAGTTCTGTTTAACAATATTTCTTGCATTAAGATCTCATTATATTTTTAGTGAACAGTTATTTTTACGTACGTAAGAACTTACTGAGTTTATTTTACACAAGATCTAAGTATTATGTACAGAATAAAGAGAATAATATCAGAACTTATCAGTGTTCTATCCTTCAAGATTAATAACCCTACAAGATATTATGACGTCATTGTTATGCAGGCTACACTAGCATTTCTATATGACTTTGCATGGAAAACTTAGAACTTACATATGCAAGTTAACCGGTTTTATTCAACCGAGTATCATTAATTAAGTTACTTCTTGTCAAATTTGTTTGTAGACGTCTTACTTATTATATGAAGGCATCATAACCCCTTATCCCCTTTGAAAAGTCAATTTTATGTGGTTCCGCGATTTGTTTCCCCGTTTAGAGCACACCTTTCTTTAACTTTGGGACCATACGCCACTTTTAGTGGAATGGCACGAAAGTGTCACATTATAGGTTCCTTGGTAACCACCGTAAGAGCACATCTGCAAATGTGGCTTGTAATTTGCACTAGACAGTATTGTACATGAACAAGCTCAGTAACATTATCAAATATACCGTTTTGGACAATGTAGGGATTCCTATTTTCTCTTATTTGACAAAAGTTTAATTTTTTACTCCAAAAGTGGAAATTAAAGGCGAAAACTGTTTAGCATATTTAACATATAACATATTTTTTACAGTTTTTACAACTTTCATGTTCTTTTTGTTCTTTCTTTGACTCGACTTTAATTCAGTTGAATATATTAATAATCTTTACCTTTTTCGATACTTCCGGAGAATCAACGTAACCACAAGTATGATGTTAACAACTAATGACACAGCAAAAAATGTTCCAAGTGAAATTGCAGCTGTAGTTACTGACTGCTCGGAGGAACTTGAGTCTAAAACATCATCATCTGTAAACAACACCATTATCTTAGCGTAGAAATAAAAGAGTGCTACATGGGCACATTTAAAAGTTTAAACATTGTGTAGCTCTATTAATTCATCAAGAGATAAAATATTATTATATGTCTTGCATTAATATGACTGTCACATATATGTACTTTTATTCTGTACATAAATACGTGTATAATTGTTGTAGCAGATACTCTAATAATTTTTATTATTAAAATAACAATCATTATCCTTATTTTCATCATCATTAGCAGCGGCAACAGCAATATCTTCATCATCATCATAACAAATGTACAGTGAAGACATAATATAAAATTAACACATAGCATAGCTAAAAATGAAAAGCATATATATCGATTATATGATAAAACAGAGCTGCTTTGAATTAATCTTACCGGATGTCAGAGGGCAAATATTGTCATTCTTTACTTTCATTTTGCAACCGTTTGTACATATGCCGTCGTCTTGCTTACAAATTGTATCGTTGCAATAAACAGAACATTTTTCAGAACACTGTAAACCATGGAAACCATCTACGCATCCATAAAGACACTTTCCATTACTTTGCTGACATAAACTTCCGCCTGTTGTTTGAATGTTGCATGTAGAGGCACATGCACAATTGCAACTTTCACCATAAAAGTTATCTTTGCAACCGCCACAAAGACCTGTTTCGAAATGACAGGATTTTAGACAGTTTTGAGGACATTGTTTGTCACATTGGTCATTGAAGTATCCAGACTTACATTGTTTACACCTTGTATCTGACAAACATGTGATACAGTTGGTATTATTTATACAACATCTGTCACCAGAATAATTGAAGACACAGCCACCAGAACACGTCCCTGTATCTCTGTCACATACACCGTTCAAACAGTTAGATGGGCATGTCACAGAGCAAAATGAACCAAAAAAGCCAGGACGACATCTATCACATTTCTCTCCATCAAAGTTGACACGACAGCTTATACATTTACCAGAGTCTTTTAAGCAGCCTTTCTCGTCACAGTTATTTGGACAGTCACTACGGCACGATTCTCCATATTTGCCAGGTTTACATTGATTGCATTGTCCTCCTACAAAGCTGTCAAGACATCCATATGAGCATTCACCATTACTTTTCTCGCATTGCTGATTTTTACAGCCTACAGAACAAGACATGTTACAGTAGTGTCCATACCAGCCGGTTGAACAGACGTCACATTTATCACCAATAATCGTGTCTGAAGTACATCCGTCTGTACAATCTCCGGAATCTTTTTCACATACGTTATATTTACATCGTGCAGGACATTGTTGATAGCACATATTTCCATAATTCCCGGGTTCGCATTTGTCACATCTTACTCCAGCAAAATTCGGAGAACAATGACAGTTTCCAGTAAGTATATCGCAAGTGTTTGATATACAACCAGCCGAACAACTGTTGTCGCATGTCGATCCATAAAAACCAGTTATACACAGAGAGCAACTATTATAGGACGAACATCGTATACAATTATCTCGACATTTGTATGTACAGTCGTTCAACAAAGGGAGGTTAATGTTGTCATTATGGTAACCCTTATAATAACCATCCTTACACGGTCCACAAACCGTATTCGACAAACACGTGACACAGTTACTTGGACATAAACTATTACAAATGTTACTGGTATCGTAATATCCGTCCTTACATGATGCGCATTGACCGTTATTACAATTACAATTTTCAGGACAAATACGATTACTACAATCATTTCGACCATTGTCGTTATTATATCCCTCCTTACATGATGTACACGTGGTTCCTGACGTGCATGATTAACATCCGGGTAAATACCTTGATGTGCAGTCTTTAGCAGAGCCTGGGTAATAGCCATCATAACACTCCGTACACGTATCTCTATTTTCATAGCACTTTGTACAATTGTGTGTACATAGTTGGGTGCACCGAGCACCTCTATAACCATCAATACAGCCTAGATAACATTCGTCAGAGGAAAAGTGGTTTCCTGGTCCACATTTTCTATCTAAACAGCATGCACAATCTACTTTACATTGTTCATCAATCACTATAATGGGAAAGAAAAACAATATTTCGTTAATACAAACAACACGTACGTTACTCATGTGCCTTTCTTTTAACTTGAATTATGTATACGTTGTCAATTAACAAAGACAACTATCACATTTAATTTACTATCTGTAATTAAGACTGATGTAAATATAGTTACCTCCTTCTACCTGGTTGTTGCTAACATTTAACCATATACACCATACGAGCAATATCTGAAATATATATAATGCAAAAGATCACAAGCAGCATTGATGTCATTTTAGCGCCACTCACTGCGCATGCGCGAGATTATTTTGGATAACATATTATTATAAACAAATTATGAATATAGCAACATATAATGATTGATGTACTTAGTGAGTTTTGTAAACTGTAGCTACATTTCGTACTGTATAAATCGATATAGGAATTCTCACAAAAAAGCCTATGCTACTTTACCTGTCACAAATTAAAGTGATTTAATATTCTTAAACCCACATTAACTTCCTTTAGGTACATTTATATTGTATTCATCAATGCTGCAAGTATTTGATATTTTCAAATAAAGCCAAAGCTATATTTAGTAATGATCATGTATTGTGATTTCAATCACAGACACTTGGCTTGTTGACACCGGCCTGTTCCGCTCCTGTATATTAAAAACTAAAAACCAATATTTTGTACAAGAGCTATTTTTAATTGCTTAACGTTTTGTTCATATAAGTATGACACGGTCTAGTGTTTCTAACATGGTAACAAGTTTGAAAAAAGTTTCATATCGTTTAAAACAGTATCACATGGTAACAAGTTTGAAAAAAGTTTCATATCGTATAAAACAGTCTATTTTTAACACACGCTTCAATTTTCTGAAGATACCAAACCTCGAAATGTAAGCATAACAGACCTATATGAATTGAATGCATTTATATTATTGCATGCCATTTCTTTTTAGTGTTAATTAGTAGAGGTAAATATTCTTTTAATTAATAAATACATGCATATGTTATTACTATCTAATGTACCTTTCTTTCAAACAGCATTATTCACAACATATCACGTGTTTGTTAACGAAATCATAACGAATTAGCTAGCATACAGAAAAACACAAAACTTGGTAGTAATCAGTGCCGAATGATACGGCATCATCATCTCTCGCACGTGCCCATGATTTATCTATATTATCGAGAGCGGATTCAAGGTAATCAAAATAAAATATATTTTATTCTGGTTGCAATAATTATTTTACAGGAAGTGCTTAAAAATCCATTTCATATAACTATGCTGAGTGCTAATCAACTGCAATATTTACGTGGTTATTAGATTGGCTGGATGAAATTCAAGTGATGCGAAAAGAATGCGCTTGTTTTTATTTTGCATAGAATTTTGGCTGGATCTCGGCATGAAATGAAAGCCGTACACCATTCAGTTCCTTACACATCACAAATTATGATATTTAAGGGAATTTTGTTAACGTTGTCAAAATAGCGGAAAACAAGTTTTATGTTTAAGACCGGTAATAATATGCAAAATTATTCTGGCATAAATTTATCCGCGGTGTATACAAGTTCGAAACAAGTCGGGAAGTCACTCACATAACTCCAAGTGTCTGTCGTCTCAATGATATTATATAATTAAAAAATAACTAACATTGAGTAAATTGCATGATGTTGAAATTAAATCTTCTATCTCACATAGCAATATGCTGCAATTATTTTTTATTTTTAATTGGTCATAACAAAAATGCAAAAGTTTTTCATGTAAGATTTATTTGTTATTTTACTCAATCAAAGATTTCGACAGCAGTAAAAATAATTAATTATATATCTGTTATATACATGTATTTTAAACCAACTGAACATTGAATCTTTAAAAATATTTGAAGAATACTATTCCGCTGATTATAAAAATACTATTATCAAAAAGATACTTATAGTATATATCATTATCTTAATGTGACATTATGCCCATCCAAGTGTATAAATAAGTGAACAGGTGAAAGTCAAAATAAGTTTTCATTTTGCCATAATTCCTTTTATGACAATATAAACGATTATTGTCCCCCGCCTTTTCGAAGAAAAAAGGGGGATATAGAAATAGGCTCCGTCCGTCTGTCCATCCGTCTGTCCGTCCGTCCGTCACACTTTCGTGTCCGGTCCATAACTTTGTCAATTATCAAAGGAATCTGAAATAACTTGGCACAAATGTTTGTTATAATAAGACGATGTGTCATGCGCAACAACCAGACCCCTACCTCAAAGGTCAAGGTCGCACTTGCTCATTCAAAGTCAACATTGTATATTTGATGGTATATGCCGTGTCCGGTCTATAACTTTCTTATCTTTGAAGGGATTTTGTAAATACTTGCCACATTTGTTCTTAATTATGAGACGATGTGTCATGCGGAGGACTCGGTCACCTACCTCAAAGGTCAAGGTCACACTTGGAGGTCAAATGTTAATATAGTGTATTAAAGGGTATATTTTGTGTTCGGTCCATAATTTTTTCATTTATCAAAGAAATCTGAAATAACTTGGCACAAATGTTTGTTATAATAAGAAGATGTGTCATGCGCATTAACCCCACCCCTACCTCCAGGGTCAAGGTGGTACTTGCTCATTCAAGGTCAACATTGTCTATTTGGTCCATAATTTTCTTATCTTTGAAGGGATTTTGTAAATACTTGCCACAATTGTTTTACAATAACGAGACGATGTGACATGCGCAACAACCGGTCACCTACCTCCAATATCAAGGTCACACTTGGAGGTCAAAGATTAACATAGTCTTTTACAAGGTAATTTTGTGTCCAGTCCATAAATTTTTCATAGATCAAAGGACTTTGTAAATACGTAAATTCTTGCCACAAATAGTCACTATAATAAGACAATGTGTCTTGCGCAACACCCGCATCCCTACCTCCAAGTTCAAAGTCACACTTAGAGGTCAAAAGCTAACATAGCCTTTTTAGGGTATATTTTGTGTCTGATCTAGAACTTCTTCAGGATTTGGAAATAACTAGGCACAAATAGTCACAATGATAAGATGATATGTCATGCATAACACATGTATCCCTACCTCCAAGGTCAAGGTCACACATAGAGGTAAAAGATTTACATAGTCTGTTATAGGGTGTATTTTGTGTCCAGTCCATAATCTGGGATTCTAAAAATTCTCACAATAATAAGATGATACATGGGTCCCTACCTCCAAGGACACACTTAAAGGTCAAGATTGACATAGTCTGTTATAGGATATATTTTGTGTCTGATGTATAACTTCTACATTGTTATAGGGATTTTGAAAATACTTGGCACAAATAGTAATATTTATAAGACGATATGTCATGCACAACACCTGCACCCCTACCTCCAAGGTCAAGGTCACACTTAGAGGTCAAAGGTTAACATGATAGAATTTTAAATTCCGTGTTTCATTTTACTAGTATTTCTTTAATAAATTTATTGTTGGATTTTGCAGATCTGGCATTGATCATAATTTGGGACTGAAAGTCCTGAAATCCATACCTCAATCATTTGAAATAGCACAATTTTATGCTTTATATAAAACTTCCCCGAGGCGGGGGACGTTGGTAACTCTGTTACAAATTCTTGTTTCACATTAACAATGGATGCAAACATTGTTTTTCGTAAATATCCATGAGAATTTACCTGTAACGTTCAGTTCATAAAAAGAGTGGGACAGTCTTTTTATATTTTAGGCATATTTTAATTCTATCCAAAACATTTTCCAATATGAACTGTTGGTCAATTAACATTTTAACAGTCAATATTTTGAAATATATAGTCAGTTAAGCTCATTTTGAAAATATGAGCATAATGTCACTTTCACTATAATTAAATATGGTCAAATTCTCTTAAATGGCTAAGTAGCAATAAGGAGGAAGACAACAAGTGAATACGGAAGCACACAGTGGAAATGCCGATTTTTTTATTGTCCTATATCGTGGCTATGAGATATAAAAAAACACAAAAAAACGTGTACATGTACTTGTATTCAAAGTGAGTATCCATGAAAGTTGTCAATCGTTCTTATGTTCCGTGTTACATGTATAATCTTAAATTATGTGGATCATATAATATCTAAATTTGTTTGTTAGTAAGAAAATAGTTGAATACAAATCCTCAATTATTCAGCTGCCAGAGACATTATGTTTGACCGTGGCTGAATGATTCAAAACGTAAGAATTTTAAATGGTAAAGTTTATATTTACATTATTGGTAAATTACAAAACATTTAAAGATCTATGTCAAGAGAAAACTGGTCAAATGATTTTAAAATTCTTTGTAAAATTACTAAGTTATTTTATGCATTCATATGTCTTTATTAGTTTAAACGAATTTTGATTTGCCAAAAATCTGAGTTGTCTTACTTAAATATATTTAATATTTAACAGACACAACTTCGTAGTGAAATATTTGCTATGTGACAACAGAATAAATGACAATATTTGGCACATATATAATTGTTTTAAGAGTAAAAGATCAAGATAAATTATGAGAATGACATATCATGTAACTTTGGTAGACAGTGCTTGCCTTAATCATATATGGGACTTCGAACACATCTGTAAGATCGTTGACATTTATCATCGTGAAGGTTGGATCGAGTCAATCACATTATCGCATTACCTCCCTTGGATCAAATTTCCATTTACGTTTAATTCACAGTATATAACGATTTGTACCCCAACCGGATCTTGTGAGAAGATCTCAGTTTCGTAAAAACAGGCGGGATGACCCATAAAACTTTTTAAGACGGCTTGCATTTAATCTGTGAAGCAATGTAAACATTTGAATCTTAAATAGGAAATAGTTAATATATACACGCCCGGCAAATTGTCGCACCACTTCAAAATTGTGGTGTACGGTAAAACAAGCGAACGGCATTTCCGAGATAGAGCGGAAGGCCGATTTAAACGGATAATTGAAAGTGTTGTTTATGAATTTGGCTTGTTATTCACTAAAATTGTATTTTTTCGAAAAACGGAAAATGTAGTTCCGTGTAGGATTGATTAAGGCTTCCAATGATCTAAGCTGTTACAAAAATAAAATTATATCAAGCCTGGGAGAACCTTTCCCCCTGACGAAGTAAACGACGATTTGTTAGATATCAAACTTCAAACCATAAAAACGCTCTACCCTTAGGATTGTTTGAAAAAGTGTTTTACAAAAATATTAACCCGTAACAAGAGCTAGTCTTTCGTGCAAAATAA